ATCGCCCAACTGGTTTCTGCCATGGGCATGTGCTGGGAAATGTGAGGGAGGCTGCCCAGAAGGTGGTGGCTTTGTAGTTGTGTCTTGTTTTAACTCTTTTATTGTAGAGCGTCCTTCTTTCCAGGCCATTCTTCACTTCAGGGAAAGATTAGGGCAGCTTCACGATGCTAGGCAGTGGTGTATTTTTCTAGTGATCTATATAAACCATTTTTTTTCAGAACTGACAGCAAGAACATCTGGAGTCTTACTCTATTTTCTCTCAGGGTTCAACCTACTCAACATTGTTGAGTTTCCCTATATTTCTTATGAGGTCAGAAGGGTCCAGACATTTTAATATATCCCACTGTAAGAGTAAAATAGCCCCAGGTTCTGGGATGGGGCAGCCTAGGTTCCAATCCTAGCTCTGAAACCACTACCTGGGCAACCTTGGGTAGGTTTCTTAACCTGTGTAAATTTCAGTTTCTTCACGGTACACAGTAATATGTTACATAGAGATGAAAGGATTAAACAAAAGAATCCAGATGTCCCCTATGCGTAATGCAGAGTAATTACTAGATATTAACTGTGTGCTAGTTACTGTTTATAGCATTATTAAAAGTGCTTGTCAGCCATGCTACAAGCTGATTACCAAAAGAAAATTTTGCTTATTTTCTTTGTATATTTCATACTGAAGGAGTAAAAGCTGTCACACATTATTTATTTATTTGTTTATTTAGTGACAGGGTTTCACTGAGTTGCCCAGACTGGAGTGCCCTGGCGTGATCACAGCTTGTTCAGCCTAGACGTCCCAGGCTCAAGCAAGTCTCCTGCCTCAGGCTACTGGGTAGCCGGGACCACAGGTGCATGCCACTGTGCCTGCTAATTATTTTATTTTTTGTACGGACAAGGTCTCACTTTGTTGCCTAGACTGGTCTCAAACTCCTGGCCTCAAGTGATCCTCTGGCCTCGGTCCCCCAAAATGTTGGGATTATAGGTGTAAGCCACTGTGCCTGGACCTCATTACACACTTAGTAAAATAGATTGCATAATGCCGCTGGTCACTCATCAGCCACTAACTTTGGCAATTCACTTCTCTGACACTCTGTTTCCTTCTTTTCTAGCTGGGCCAATCACTGCTGCCTCCCAAGATATCCTGGATGAAAGATGTTTGGGAAAGGTTTGAAGTACTCTCTGGAGTAAAAGGTGTTACTGTTGAGATGCATGACAATGAGCTTCTATGGGCAGATATTAATTTGATTTGAACTTGGGATAGGTGTTGAGAAAAGCAGTTCTGCTCAATTTTTAAATCCTAGGATACTCTGTAAGCATTCATAATGTTGATTTATTTCTTTGAGAAACCATCTAGAAATCTTGAAACTCTCTTATTTGTCTTTTTCCCTCTCCTCCAGAGTTTTATTTTCTTCCCATAAAATTTCATTACACTCTTGGCAGCAACTGTTATTTTTACCTATTGTACAAATAATCTTTTTAGTTTATATTCAGGCACAGCAGTGTCTGCAATGCAATAGTTTACATTACAGTTCAGGTGTTGTACATTCTTTGGGTTTTGACAAATGTATAATGACATGTATTACCCATTATAGTATCACATGGAACAGTTCCTCTGCCTTAAAAATCCTCCATGCTCAACCTGTTCATCTTTCCCTCACCTCAAACTCCTAGCAACCACTTATCTTTTTACTGTATGCATAATTTTGCCTTTTCCAGAATGTCATGTAATTGGAATCAAACAGTATGTAGCCCTTTCAGATTGGCTTATTTCACTTAGTAATATGCATTTTAGGTTCCTCCATGTCTGTTCATGGCATCATGGCTCATTCCTTTTTAACACAGAATAATATTCCATCGTCTGGATGTGCCACACAGTTAGTTTATTTATTTACCTATTGAAGGACATCTTGGTTGCTTCCAAGTTTGGGAATTATGAGTAAAATAGCTATAAACATCGGTGCGCAGGTCTTTCTATGGACGTTGATTTTTCAACTCACTTCGGTAAGTACTAAGGAACACAGTTGCTCTATGCTATGGTAAGGGTATGTGTTGTTTTGTAAAGCATCACCAAACTGTCTTCCAAAGTGGCTGTACCATTCCTCCACCCTTTTAAGCCACAGCCTGGCCAGCCATGCCAGGATGTAGAATTGACTTCTTAGGCAGGTTAACATCCCAATTCTTTGTACCTATCTTGAGATATGCTATTATGGACAATCACATTCCAAGGCAGCATAGGGCAAATTCCTATGTTTCATGCTCAGTTAACCAAAAGTGTGTTATTAGAGGGTGTGTCTGGATGGAGGCAACTTATGTGTCCAACTCACCTATTGCTGTGTTGTCCTGTGAAAGCTGAGAAGTGCCACGAAGTGTTTCCACCTGTAAGACAGGGAAGGCGTGGCTGTCTCTTCTTCCTGAAAAAGCCCCTTGGCCTTCACACTGCCCATTGGCGTCTCTTTCCCCTTTCCTGTTGCTCTCCTGCAGACCTGTTGGTCATTCCTTCTCATTCACTGGGGATTCGCCTCCTGACTCATAGTTTTCCTTTTCTCACCCCTGACTTCCTAATATCTACCCCCGACTTCTCAGTTCCTTGACCTTCTCATCTCTAACAACATTTTTCTCACCTTCCACCAGCAACCCACTCCCCATAATCACCCTCAGAGCCTTCACAGCAACAGAATCTACACCCCTCAGACATCTCAGTTTCAAACAACTCACCCTTTCAGCACCACGACTTACATTTCCTAATTCACTCACCACACATCTTTGACGTCACAGGGCCTCCAATCTCTTGACCCTGCCTGTGTCTCACAGCCCATCAGCCCCTCTGTTTTCTCATCACCCCTCATTAACTTAAACCCCAGGATCCATCTTCCCACCAGGCCCCTGAACTTTCTTCTGTTATTTGCTCCTACCCAGCAGACCCCAATCCTAACTGAAATTCATTCACTCTGCCTTCTCCATGCCTGTGCCGAGCAGCTCCAAGTTGCTGATAACAACCACTGGCCAGGCTGAGTGGCATCATTTGAAGCCATCATCTCAAGCTGCAGGGGGACATTCATGCTTCTGACACACCTGTTACACTTTACTAGTTAATGTTCCCAGTTTCTGAAATGCTCCTTCATACCTTTTTTGTCTTCAAACCTCCCACACTGTTCCCCTGAATCCTGGCTAATGAGTAGCCTCTAACTCCCTGAGAATACAGAAGCCAGACAGGAGCTCTCTTATTTCCTCACACCAGTTTAGAAGCGCATCTGAATTTGCATCTGGCTTCTGATTCCTTTCTACTACAAGAAAGCAAGCCTCCCTCTCCTAACAAATAATATTCCTTCCTTGGGTTTGTGATGAGCTCACTTTAAGGAGTTCTGGATTAGCTCACTTCAAGGATGAGCTCACTTCACCTCTCCCTTCCCTCTCCCTTCCCTTCATCATCCACTCACACTTCTGCCTCATCAGCCCCTCCCTCTGCACTGCGTCCTTCCTTCTTTTTTTCTCCCCTTTAAGGGAGAGGGGCAATATAATTTATGTAAAATAACACATGTAAAAATAACAATCCAGAAATCATTTGGTGTTCGCTTCTCAATACCCACCCTCAAATGTAACCACTTTTCTGATTTCTATTAGAAAATATATTAATTTTTCCTGATTTTGGACTTCATATACTTGGAATAATATAGTATATATTTTTTGGTATCTGGCTTCTTTTGTTCAGTACAACATATTTGTGATCAATTCATGCTGTTGTGTAGGTCAATCATCTTTATAGCTGAGTGGTATTCCCTCGCAAGGTCATACCACAATTTGTTTATCCATTCTTCTGTTGATGGAAATTGTGGGTGTTTCCAGATTTGAGCTCCTATAAACAAGGCTGCTCTGGACGTTCTTGTGCACGTCTTTTTGTGGAAATATATTTCCTTTTCATTTGGAACTTCTGGTCATAGAATAGGTGTATGTTTAACTTTATTAGGAGCTAACAGACAGCTCTTCAAAGTGGTTGTGCCATTTTGCATTCTCATAAAAGCACTGTATGAGAGTTCTGGTTGCTTAACTTCCTCCACAAATTTAGGATAATCAGTCATTTTGATTTTAGTGATTCTAGTGGGTGTGAAAAGTGCTTAGGACAAACTTGGCATAAGATTATCCCCCAAGAGAAGTTATCTATTATTATTATCACCAGATCACGACTCAAACACTTTTAATAAAGGGCACCCGAGTTCCTTCTTTATTGTAATCATGCCTCACTCTTTTTCTTGTCCTAACCCCTCCAAAAACCACATCACAACCCCCAATATTGGCCATACATCTATTTAAGTATTATGTGTAAATATATATTGGTAAATATACTAAAATATTGGCTTTATAAAGAGGACCAAGTAGAGACATCACTAATGTCCCCCGCAATACCGAGCGAGTGCTCGGAAAATGGCTAGGTTCGTATTTTTCGGCAGCTCCCTAGAATACAAGTCTACACTACTTTGTTCTGGGCTCTGTCCCCATATCTTAGGAGCTGCATTCTCTTTCGAGCTGCACAGCCCTGTGGGACCTCAAACCTTGCCTTTCTTGACAACCGATGGGAGGTCCCGACCATCAGCACCTTCTCCAGTCTATAAACCTGGGTTGGATGTCCCTAGCTGGACACAGCTTCTCTTGGGAACGCTGTAGAGGAAATCGGGGTCTCGGGTGTTGTTGTGTACCGAGGGACAGAGGCCAGACGCGCTCCGCGGCCTGAGATGAGCTAGGCACGTGCTGGGGGCGGGGTGGCAGAGACAGCTGTGTGGTCCCAGCTGTTCCTGAGCGCACCGCTGAGGGACGCACTCCTTTCTGCAACGGTTGCACCCCAAGTCCTCCTCCCATTCCTATATTTTTCTCCATCCCCTGCCCACGCTTAATTAGTTATCTCCTCCAGACCCCTCCCCACTGGCCTCCTCCCTTGCACACGGGAGCTGGGCAGGGAAGGGAGCGCCCGGCTCAGTACTGCGGGAGCCCTGCGGCTGTCCGAGGCCGCGCGGTGGCCAAAGCGCAGCGCGGGAGAGTCTGCGATGTCAGAGAACGGCTCCTTCGCCAATTGCTGCGAGGCCGGCGGGTGGGCAGTGCGCCCGGGCTGGTTGGGTACTGGCAGGGCGCAACCCTCCAGGACCCCTCGACCTCCTTGGGTGGCTCCCGCGCTATCCGTGGTGCTCATCGTCACCACCGCCGTGGACGTTGTGGGCAACCTCCTGGTGATTCTCTCCGTGCTCAGGAACCGCAAGCTCCGAAACGCAGGTGAGCACCATTCCTGATGCTGGGTGCTGGGGTCGGGCCCTTCCTTGTCCTCTGGTCTTGTCCCTGACCCCGGGATATGCGCTGCCTTTTCCCTCCTCAGCCCGGGCTCCCCTTTCCCTTCACTCTAACCTAGTCCCTAAGTTTGACTCTGTACTCAAAAGTTAGGGTGAGTTCTGCCCCTCCGAAATGCGACTGCCCAGGATGCACTTGGCACAGAGGGAATTACGGAAAGTTTTACTGGCGCGCTTTTTGGCGCTGTGGGAACCCACGCTGCTGGGTGCCATCGCTACCCGTCGCGCTCCAATGTGTGCCTTTCCAGAGGTGCCCACATCAGGCCACAGAACACCACTTGTGCTTGTCACCCCATTTCCTTCCTTGCCAAGCACTGTAGCTTTATGTAGTAGTTGCTTAGAAAATCCTTGCTGAAAAAATGAGTTAATCAATGGAAGCATTTCAGTAGGTTTTGTGTCAAAAACTTATCTCCAGGTCATCTGAAGACCCAATTCCAGTGGACAGAGTGTAAATGCAGAAATTGCAGATTCTGCTTGGACTGAACTAAATTGCTTTGAAATATTGTGGTCTTTTCTGAAGACTGGGAATTCCTGGGATTAACTGTGAAAATTAAAGCAATGATTTGGCTAAATCGTGTTGCAAACCTGAAAATATTTCTCCTATTTCAATTCACTCTCGTTTCAATATTCCCCTAGTCAGGTCTTCAAAGAAAGAAAACCAGAGTGCGGGGGGAGAGGTCGGTGTCTGAACTCTCACCCTCACAGGTCATGGGGCATGCTGACCATTTCAGCCTAGGAGGGAGCTCGGTGACCTGTTAATTTTGCAGTCTCTCAAGTTGGGCCTTGGGGGCAAATTCAAATATTAGAGTGAATTAAAATGGAAAGATAGCAGCAGACAAACAATTGTATAGCTTAAAAATGCTTTTTTAAGGAGTCAGACCATTTTTAGCAAATGGTAATATCTATTTGGTGTGGTCTGTGACTCTAGAATTTTTTCTTTTTTTCTTTTTTTTTTTTTTTTTGAGATGGAGTCTCTCGCTCTGTCACCCAGGCTGGAGTGCAGTGGCACAGTCTAGGCTCATTGCAACCTCCTTCTCCCAGGTTCAAGGGATTCTCCTGCCTCAGGGTCGTGAGCAGCTGAGATTACAGGCGTGTGCCACTACACCCAGGTAATTTTTTATGTTTTTGGTAGAGACAGGGTTTCACCATGTTGGCCAGGCTGGTCTCAAACTCCTGACCTCAATCAAGTGATCCACCTGCCTCAGCCTCCCAAAGTGCTGGGATTACAGGCATGAGCCACCGCGTCCGGCTGACTCTAGGATTTTTATCTAAAAAAACAAACAAGAAACTGCTCCACCGGTGAGTATCCAGCCATCAAATGGGAAACATAACATTATGAAGAAGAAGTAAGCTTTCTAACTCAGCCACTTCGGTAGTGGTGGCTGTTTTCTGGACTACATTGTTCAAAATATTGTGTCCTTTGAAGAAAAGCTTATATATTAGGGAAGAACAGGTTATGATTAGAAAACTGCATTTAATATTTTTGAGACATTGTCCCTTGCAGCCATCATAAACATTCATTCCCTGAACAGGGAGGCAAAAGGGAGACAACTCCTGGCTCTGTGGGGGAGAAATCGGCCCTCCTGGTTCTGACATTGGCCCCTTCTGTCCCTGACTTATTCAGTATTTAGAGCAGGTCTGTCAGGCCATGGCTCCCTACTCAGTAATTTGGATTGCCCACCGTGAGAAAGGTGGTTGAGGGAAGTAGGAGTTGCTTCCTTTTGCTGGAAGGAGAAAAGCACCCCTCCCCCACTGCATCCTACAAAGGGCTGGGCTTTTCTGTGATCCTGGCAGGGTCTACAGAATCCTTACCAATTTGACAGCGTCACTGGGGAGGGTCATGAGCATGTTCAATTGCTGGCATATCCTCTCTTCTATCTTTCCTACCTCCTGATGTGTCTGCTACAGCCCAGCACCCGAAAAATAAATAAATAAATAACACTATATCTAAATGACATCAATTCCTGCCACTGCTACAGTGTTGCAATTTAACCAGTTCTTATGTGACCACTGGCTTTATTGGTGATAGTCACAAACAATTGTAGTACTGACTTGAACTAAATGATCTCAGCAGAGTAAGATTTCAAAAGGTGCTTAAAACCTACAGCTCTTTGAATAGTTAGCACCCATTCTACTCTTAATCAGGCCTTGACTTACTGAAGAGTTTGGATTTACCTTAAGAAACGTTTCTTCAGACCTTTCCATACTGAAGTCTGGCTCCTTAAATCATTGGTATTAATAACTTAAGTCTGTGACAATGAGAATACATATATTTCCGATAACCAAGATGCATAGCCCATATTGAGATCACAGCATGTTTCCCAGGAGACACCAGTATCTTTTACTTGCCTATCACAAACCCATCCTCTGCGGAGCAGCTCTGTATCATCCCTAACAGTGTCGCTCCTGACGGCAGGGTGAGTGGTTACATTAATTGTCCTTTTTTTCAGGGATATCCTATCTGCGGCTTCGGTTGCTGTATGTGGTGGGTTGACTTCAGAGATAGCACTAGAGAAAGGCAGACAGGGAGGAGTGGAGGCAAGGTGGGAGGTAGGGTCAGAGCACTGACCCAACTTAAAAGGTAAGGCCAAATGTGTTCACTCTTTGCTACATTCTTAGTGTCTCGCACAGCCCATGGCACTGAGTTGGCACCTTACGCTTGTCAGAGTGTGCTTCCCAGGGACTTGCCACACTTCGGACTCTCCTGAGAACAGTTGAGAAATTTCCCTCCTGGGCTCGTCACTGCTGCCCTGACCCTTGAGCTACACCTTGCTAATATTTATCTCTTGCATTTTTGAGCTGTTCTTTTCTCTCTTCTGGAAACTTCCTCCATTTTACACACACACACTATACACAAAGTCTCCTGTTTTAAAAGAACAAAAGACTCTTTTCTTGACTTCATGCCCCTCCTAACTTCATCACTACCTCTCTCCCTCCCTTTTCAGTCAGACGTTTTAATGTAGCTGTGGACATCCACCGTCTCTACCCGATTGCTTCCCATTCATCCTCAGTCCTCTGAGCTCTACTCTCTGGAAATGTTCCTCTGTGCTGTGTGTGACACTGAGGGCCATTCCCTCTGTAGGACCTTTCATTTCCTCGGCTTACCTGGTGCTAGTTTTTGGATTTCCTTTTTCTCTTCATCTCTCGGATACCTGTGCCCTGAAAGTCACCTTTGGTTCCTCCTACTCTTTCATGCCACATGTCCTAATGATTTTACCTTCCACTATTTCTCAATTTCTCCCTTTCCTGCCTCCTTATTCTTACTGCCCCCATTTCATGCCTTCATCATCTCTTGAGCAAACACTACCCACAGTGCTTGAACGCTTTTCCTGCTCCCTCCTCCAGCCGCTGTTACCACTGCCAAAAGTTGCGCTCCCTCCTCCAGCCGCTGTTACCACTGCCAAGAGTTGCCCTGTCTTTAGTGGCTGCCCTCCATCTCCAGAGCACAGCTCCCACAGCCATTTGTAGCTGGCCTAGCCCACCTAACTTACAGCCTCATCGCCCTCCTCTCACTGGTGCCACAGTGAGCTGCTGCCACTTCCCAAAGGGTCTGCACTCCCTGATGTACTTTCTCAGCCTCTTCTGCCCAGTCAATAGCTGCTCCTCCTTCAACCCCTTCCCTAACTCCCCTGCAGGATTATCAATGTAGATTATTAATACCATGAAGGGGATAGTAAGTGTCTCCTTTGTTGGGCTTCTCAGATACCTGTGCCCTCCCCAGTACAGCACCCCCCTCACTGTACTATTGTTCTTTGTCCCTCCCCGCTGGACTGTGCACCTGTAGAGAGTAGACACTTTTAGTCAGTTTCTGTCCACAGAGCCAGACGCATAGTTAGAACGGAACACATCTCTGATGAGACAAATTGGAAATAGACAAGACACCAGGTAGTGGGGGAAAATTAATTGATTTTGCTCCATGAGCTGGGATAGACCTCAGTTACAATACTCAGCACTGCATAAATAATCAATATGGGTTTTCATGAAACTGAATTGCTTTGAGAACAGCCCAAAGTAATCTCACTTTAAGCTGACTATTGGCACCTTGTGCATGAAGGCATGCCTGATCTGTGATTCACCTGTGTGGCTAAAGTTGCTCAGCAGGTTCCAACCATGCCATGGTTGTACCCTAGTGATTCCTCTCAGGCAGTTTGCCCCTGACATGGTTTGGCTGTGTCCCCACCCACATCTCATCTTGAATTCCCACGTGTTGTAGGAGGGACCTGGTGGGAGGTAATTGAATCATGGGAGCAAGTCTTTTCCATGGTGTTCTCACAATAGTGAATAAATCTCATGAGATCTGATGGAAAAAGAGAAGCTCCCCTGCACAAGCTCTCTCTCTTTGCCTGCTGCCATCCACGTAAGACATGACTTGCTCTTCCTTGCCTTCCACCATGATTGGGAGGCTTCCCCAGCCATGTGGAACTGTAAGCCTAATGAAACCTCTTTCTTTTGTAAGTTGCACAGCCATGGGTATGTCTTTTTGTTGTTGTTGTTGTTGTTGTTGTTGTTGTTGTTGTTGAGACGGAGTTTCACTCTTGTTGCCCAGGCTGGAGTGCAATGGCATGATCTTAGCTCACCGCAACCTCTGCCTCCTGGGTTCAAGCTATTCTCCTGCCTCCGCCTCCCAAGTAGCTAGGATTACAGGCATGCACCACCACACCCAACTAATTTTGCATTTTTTAGTAGAGACAGGGTTTCTCTATGTTGGTCAGGCTGGTCTCAAACTCCTGACCTCTCAAACTCCTGCCTCAGCCTCCCAAAGTGCTGGGATGACAGGTGTGAGCCACTGTGCCTGGCCTTGGGTATGTCTTTATCAGCAGCATGAAAACGGACTAATATGGGCCCTTTATAATACAGCCCCTTTCTTGGTCTGGCCCAAGGTTGCCACTTTTAAGCTGCCTGTAATATGCAGGCCATGTAAGAGAGCTA